TAACAAGTTATTTTTTATGTAGCACTGCACTTTTTAATTTACAAGTTTATTCAGTCCATATGATACTAAGATTCTTGGCTTTTATTCGGGCCTCATGACTGTAATTATATTCCTCTCAGAATGGACCAAAATGTGTCATTACCTGGCCAAATAGCAAGCAATGTAAAATTATGACTGGTTAGCTGTCTTGACTCGTGACTCATTGGGGGATCGAGTCTGAAACACACACCCCTCTCCCCCTTTTAACATTAAAGTGAACGGTATCACAGAAGGTAGAAGGAAGAAAATATGAAACACATAACAGGGAAGAAAGCAAAACAAAGGGAAGAAAAAGAAACAAAAAATGTATTCGGTAACAGTGCTAAACAAATACAAATTAAGTAACCGGTCATTACATGGCAGTTGTATTCCAGGCAATAGATAAACAGAAGAAAGGGTAGCCCTCTTCTCAGTTACTCTGACACTCGTAATGTTAGAGCAAATAGGAAAGCTGTATTCCCAGCAAAGTGGAATTCCTCATTCTCTGAAAATTTTGTAGGGGAAATAATTGAATGGATCAGTTTACTTAACTGTTCTATGTGTGAATATTACTTTAAATGATTTCATCTGTATTGCCTTACAGATTTTGGTTTTGTTGCTGTTGGCAAAGATTGCACAGATTAAGTTGCAAAATTGTTTCAGTACTTTTTTTTTTTTAAAGTACATGTTGTGATTTGCTAGTATACAAAAACATATATTATTGTTTCGCATTTGAGATGACAGGATGTAAACACAGTTGCTGCGAATCACTTAGCAGAAAGAGTTTTTGCACCCACCATTTCACTACAAGGAAATTTCATGGAAGTGACTATATGCTGAAGAATTCATAGCACAAAAGTGACATTGCTATCTTTGTAAGGGAAGTTATCAGCTCTAGGAAGTACTTAGTTATCATTAATGCTGCTTCACAAATAAAAGTAAATCTGAAGTCTTGTGATACTTGGAAGAATCAGGGAAAGCAAAATACTTCATAAATTACGTAGGAAGTAGGGGGGGAAATTATTTAAAGTTTCTTGAGGACCTTTGTTCAATATTATCCTTTCATAAACAGCATGTTTACCAATGCAAAAAGAATCTCCATCAAACCATTTGATAAATATTTGTTTACTATGCTGTTCGGTCAATCTGTCAGTCAACACTTTCAACACTTTGTCATTTTCTGTTAGTTGAAACCCTGCTTTCTTTAAGCCTAATCAGTCAGCACAGAATGATTTTCCAGAGAGCCACCACAAATTTTACCACCTTCTGTTTTAAGAGTATGTATGATTTGCTCGAGTTTTTAGCTCCATGTGGCTTCCCCCTCCTCCCCCCTCACACCCTATGATTTGTGCTTATTTGTCAAGGTAGCACATTTGTGAAGAATTTTTAGACAATAAAGCTACCAGGTTGGTAAAGTGACTGCTGTAGAGCTGCTTGACATCCACACATCTCAGAACAATTGACACTGTTTATGTACCCAGCACTGTATGTGCAGATGTGTTTTGGACATATAGCACTTGTGCAGGGGATAATCAAATAAACAGCACAGGTACTACAGATGTGAAAAATCTATTGGCATATGCACAATAAATCCAAGTGCCCATAAAATGTTTGGCTTACTGTGTCATCCATGGCCATTCATGGAGCGTGGCACAATTCATCTGTCATCCCAGGCTGAGTGAATATTCACCCATATTTTTGTCTGGTGTTTCCTCAGCAAAAGTACAGGACTCCTGTGCGTGTGCTCTATCATGAGAGATGGCTGTGCAGCCCTGTGGGTCAGGGTTGATCTATTCTTCTAAGTGTAAAGCACATTTCCTTGAACTTGCCTTCTTAAACAAGATAGCTCAGCATTACTGATTTGTGTGCAGACGTACGCGTATTTCTTAATCTAAGTCATAGAATTACGGAGTAATTCAGGTTGGAAAGGACTCCAGGAGATCTCTAGTCCAAGCTCCTACTCAAAGCAGGACCAGCTATGAGATCAGAACAGGTTGCTCAGGGCTTTATCCAGTCGGCTTTTGAAAACTTCCAAAGATGGAGACTGCACAACCTCCCCGGGCAACCCGTTCCGCTGCTCAATTGCCCTCATGGTGAAAAAGCTTTTCCTTATATCAAGTCAGAACTTCTCATTTCGGTTTTTGTCTGTTGCCTCTCATCTTCCCGCCATGCACTGCTGTGAAGAGCCTGGCTCAGCCTTCCTTATAACCTCCTCATAGGTAGTGGAAGGTTGCTAATAGGTCCCCCCAAAGCCCTTTCTTCTCCCATGCTGAATAAGCTCAGTTCCCTCAGCCTCTTCTCATAGGGTATGTACTTCAGCACCCAGACCATCTTGCCGACCCTCCTCTGAACTTGCTGCAGTTTATCAATGTCTTTCCTTTACTGGGGCCTAAAACTGGATGCTGTATTTTAACTGCAATCTAACAAGTGCCAAATAAAGGGGGATAGTAGATCAAGGGAGACCTCCCTTGATGCTTGGTGCCTCTCAGTACAACACAGGATGGTATTACCTTCTTTGCTGCCAGGGCACGCTGCTGGCTTATGTTCAGCTCACTGTCTACCAAGATTCCCCCGCTCCTCTCCAGGTCCTTTTCAGCACAGCTGCTCCCCAGTCAGTCAGTCCCCAGCCTGCATCATTACAAGAGTTGAATGATATATGCTCCCTGTATATTTCTTCCCAACAGGAGAGGATGGGAAAGCAAATATGAAAAGATACTCTAAATTCTATTTAATGTACTTCTGGAAAGCTCTGATTCTGTAGTAATTTTATAGAGTCATCTAAAATCTTGCAGGTGTTAATAGTTGGTTTAGCAATCTATTACTCAGGATCAGCCAGTGCTAAGGGCTGTGGTGTCCAAAAGATTCAAAGCTAAAAGCAGATCAAAATAATCAGCCTGTGCAATTAAATGGGCATTCAGGAGTGAAACAACTAGGACAAGGAAGGTGGCTTCTTGTCTTTGTTCATTCAGGGTATTCTGTCATACTCTTCAGAACAATGGATATTTATTCTCTGCTCTTTATCCTGTGTCCATTTGTTATAGGTGGTAGTCCCTCTAAAAGCCTACTACTAGTCTCTCATTTCATAGGTATTTTTCCTCGATACGCTCAATTGAATTTAATATGGTTCTCCAGCAATCCCAACTTCTGCCTTTCTTTCACCAAAATTCTTGTCAAGGTAATTACAAAACCAGGAGTTGCTTAAAAACAGCTAAGGTTGCTATGCAGAAATTGTGGCTTCTTGTCAGATTACTTACAAAGTTCAAGCGCTTAAGCCAAGGAAATAAAAACTTCATATAATATATAAACACACTGCTACAATACAAAGAATATATCCTCATAGCTTTTTCCGTAACCTGTGGTAGTACTGTTCATTTGTTATCCTGATTTTAGCATCTAACATATCTAGGATGGTTTTTAACTGAGAAACACTAAGATTATATTTTTGTCATAGAATATACAATTGCTATTTCTTCTATTAGATATTTGTAAATATAGTTTAAATAAGAGATCATTTGAATTTTTTTGCTATAAAATGGTGTTTTTAAATTCTAATGGACATGGGTACTTATTGATAATTTTCATATTTCTGTTTCAACACAATTGTCTGAAACATATCTGTTTAAGCCTACTGGAGAAAATTGTATTTATTTAGGATCAGAACTGGCATTTCTTTGACAACGTAGATTTTTTTTTAATCACATGACAGAACGGTTTATCCTATACTGAAATATTTGTTTAGTTTTCTAAAGATGCTGTCAGACAAATAAGCTATATTTTTGCCTTTAGGAATATATATATGTTCAATTAAGTAATTTGGTTTATAGAACTTGCATACTGTGTGTGGGTTTGTGTGTGTGTGTGTGTGTCTGTAGTGTGTATTTTTAATGATTTAAAGGAAGACAGTTGTTAAAACTTCAAACATAGAATAGATTTTCAAGCTTCCAAATTATAAGGAGCGAGTTGCATTAGTCCAAAAAAAGTAGCATGCTCAATGTGGAAAGGTACAAGGCAGAAAGATTTCTACTAGCTGAAGAAGCTACCATCACCACATAGCTCTGTATAAGGAGGAGACTGTACCAAGGACTCCTTATTCAGCTTCAGGCAAGGTCATTGAATTGGTTCACACCCACCTTCAGCAATGAGTTAAACTGAAGGGGTATTTTCATGATTGGTTCAAGCCAACTTTGCTATTGCTGAAAAGGATGGTCACATCTTCCTCCCTGCAGTTTCCATGCTCAGTACCATAAGGCTGTGTAATTAGTACTAATCCTACAAATAGCTGAAAAATAGGGTTTTTCTTCTACATCAGTGAGTTGAGGTGACTCACTGTACAGCTTCACAAGTGGTAGTTTCAATGCAGGAGGCGGGTAAGGAAATGCAGCTGGGATGGCAGATCTTTGATGAGAGTGTGGTCTTAGTTTGGCTTAAGGAAATCATTAAACCATGTCCTTAGTTGGCTGACTTTGCCTGAAACAGAGACTTTGCCTGAGTGAGCGCTCACCTGCTCCTTCTGCCAGCAGGACTGATGGGAGCAGTGACTAACAGCAGTGTGTCAGTTGGTATAGAAGTTTGCAAAGTCAGTCTCCACTTCTGGGTTAAGTCAGATAAGTCTAACACATTCTGCAGTCTCAGCAATGAAAGCAAAACCACAACAAACTAAGGATCTTGCAAAAAGCGGAATGATTCACAGCCCTTATACAAAAGAGAAG